CCCTGACTTCCTGGCAGCCAGCTGTGCTTGCGGCTACGTACGGGATGTGGTGGAGGCACTGTTTTTAAAGAGTTCTGTGATTTCTAGATGCCATCACATTTTAATCTTCCTTACCCTTTTACTTTTTTACCTATTCATCCTTTTTTAATTTCATCTGTGGCATCAATAACAGATGTCACAAAGGCAATGTAAGAAAGAAGGAATAAAAGTGATTTAAACATGCAGTATACCTGACACCCTGATTCCCTTTGGAAATCTAAGGTCGCTTATCCCGAACCAGAGAAACGCAGCCCAAAGAGTGTCGCAGGCCAGGTGGCTGGAGGGGAAAGCTGGGGCTATACTTCAGCTAGGATCCCACGGCCACGGGGCCAGGCCACCCGGTTCCTGGCCGCTGCAGGCAGGATGCCAGCAGGACAGTGCACGCAGGTGGCCTCATTAGAATTCTGTCTGGAGAAGGACTGGAGAACTCGGACATGGGGAGGAGGTCTCTTCCCCCGAGGGGTTTGACTGGAAGCTGGTTTGTTGTTTGTGTGCACACAGGTGTGTCGGGGTGTGGTGCTGAAGCTCAAACCCAGGCTTTGTGCATGCTGGTACTCGGCCACTGGGTTGCACTCTCACCCTTGGTATTTTATTTGAAAGCTTCACCCTCTGTGCCACAGCCTTCCTCCTTCCCTCCCTCTGGAGATACGGACACTGACCCCACATTGAGGCCCTGGTGCTCCTGCAGCTTCGTGTCCCTCCGGATCTGGGGATGTACTGGGGTTTCCTGTTTGCCCTCCCCCACTCCAGTGGTTTGAGGCTCTCCATCTGCGCCTGCAGCCGGGCTTGTGCTCCAGGGCAGCACTGTGCCTTGCGCCAGTGTCCAAGGCATTGTGAGCAGACTGGGCTGCAACCAGCTCCTTGGGTGAAGGTTTCCCTGCATCCCGCTCTGCAGCTGCCCAGCCACTTCTGCCTGTTTGAGTGTAGCCTCTATGGAGTCCTCCATCAAGATGAAAGGGATGGAGGCACTAATTCTGCTTGCAGCTCTTTTTTTTTTTTCCCTTTAATTTGATAACAGGATATTACTCCACAGCTCAGACTAGTAGTGATCATCCTGTCTCAGCCTTCCCAGCACTGGGAATAGGCGTGTGCCGCCACACCTGGTTTTCAGGCTGGCACAGTGCACCTGGGGTTTTGGGGCTGGCACAGCATGTGGTACTGGGGATCGAACTCGGGTCCTTGTGCTTGCAAGGGAGGTACTTAGACCACTGAGCTATCTCCCCAGCCTCTGGTTGCAACTCTTCATTTTAAAATTGCTTAATGTTTTGGGTTGTGTTGTTTTTTTTTTAATGTGTCATGAGTGCCCCACACCAGAAGCAGGGCTGATCCTTTCCTTGCTTGGGTGACTCTGCCTCTGATGGGAACAGGTGCCAAGCCAGGCCCATGGTTGGCACGCAGTTTGCTGGGTGTTGTCACAGGACAAGGTGGGTCCTGTCCCCTCCTGGTATTCTGGCACTGTGTGGCTCTGACCCATACTCATCTTCTGTCTCTGTATCAAGAAAGGGGCTCAGTGGAGTTCCTTTTTTTTTTTTTTTTTTTTTTTTTGGTGGTACCGGGGATTGAACTCAGACCCCTATGCTTGCTAGGGAAGCACTTATTCTACTGAGCCATCGCCCCAGCCCTTGTTTTTGTTTTTTAATAGGAACATCGAGGGGCTGGGGAGATAGCTCAGTAGAATAAATGCTTGCCTGGCAAACACAGGGTCTTGAGTTCAGTCCCCAGTACCGCCAAAAAAAAAAGGAACATCGAAGTCTTTATTTAAGAAGGCCTTGCTGTGGCACAGGTTGGGCAGTACACAATAGAAGCCCTCCCCAGAAAGCCTGAGTTTCTATCTTGGAACCCACCCAAGGTCTTATGTGATAGTTTTTGTTTTCCTATCTAGGTGGTGACAGTCCCCACCTCAGGAGGCCAATGCCAGGGTTCTGTCTCGAGCAGTGACAGGAGGCACAGGAGATGCTGAGGGCCTCAGGATTTTTCCTCTTCCTGCACTGGCTTCGCTGCTTTGGCACTGAGTCAGGTGCAAGTTCTTGGACTCCATTTGAAATGCGGCACTGCTGGGCGTGCTTCCCATCTCCTTCCCAGGCTACAACCTGAGCCTCAGCGTGGCCCTGAGGTGACAACCTGTGGAGGCAGAGTGAGCCTTCAGAATGGCTCTGGACCACAGCTAGGAAGCCCCACAAGCTGAGGCAGTGTGTGCCTGCTCCAGCAGAGGAAGGCTGATGGCCCAGGGTGTCCCGTGGCAGTGCTCGTTTTTCACGCCTTAGGTATCGTTAATTACACAAAAAGCTAATTGATCACAGAATTCTAAACAGCCTCTTGCTGTCTGCAGCCGTGAAAAGGTTGGAACACTCAGAGGTCTAGGAAAACATCCAAAGATAGCAAAAACATGTGTTCTAATTTTTGTAAGACATTTGTTGCTTCAGAGATGGAAACCAGATTTAGCTGCAAAATTTATGGATGTTCCAAAGCAAAAAGAGTAAGTTGGAAGTTGCCAGAACCCTGACAGCCACAACTGGAAGAATCTAACCCGTTGGCCTATTAGTCGTTGCAGTCACTTCTGCAATGGATGCCAGAGTTCTGCGGAGCTGGGGAAGGGACCATTACTGGGACACACCTTGAGGTGGGCCAGCAGGCTGGCTGCCCAGAGCATAGGCAGAAATACTTCCCGGCCTTGTGGACCCACCCTCTGCCGTGCACCAGCTAGCACAGAGCAGTCTCCACAAGTGTCACCTAGAGGTGTTAAAGGGACAAAGAGTGATGAAAAAATACAGTGCACATGGAAATTTTTTAATTTATTATGATAGAAGACATTACTATTAATACCCCCTCAAAATCCTCCACCCTGCTTTGCACAAACTTCTCCCATAATTCTTGCCATGTTCTGAAGCAGTTCTGGAAGTCCTTGTTCATGCATTTATGAGGTGTAGTCACAGTGCATGCTGCTGCCAAGTGCCATCCAGTGGACATGCAGGCTGCAAAAACATGACAGTGTCCTCGTTTACCTCATTCAACAGATCTGGCACCAGGGAGTCTGGCTCTTCCTGAAAGTTAAAACGACCATGAAAGGGAAATGTTTTGAATCTCTTCAGGACATCCAAGCAGCCACGCCACCACAGCTAAAGACACTAATGAAAGAGGACTTCCAGAGCTGCTTCAGAGAGTGGAAAGAATGATGGAATCTTCGAAGTGAAAAGAATTATTTTGAAGGAGATTAAAGGATTAGTCAATTAAAAAATTTAAATGCACTTTTTCAATCACACCTTGTATAAATTGAAAAGATAATCTGCAGTGGCATACAGATGGGATGTTTATGGGGCTCTTTTGAAGCTGTTAATGGACTACGGTCTCAGCCTGTTATTCCATGAGGCTTTTACTCTGTAAACAGGAGTCTTCTATTTGCTGTAATTGCCCCATCAGAGACTATCCATTGCTGAGAGTGGTGGAGAATGGTCAGGCACCTGGGAAGGGATGATTTTCTCTTCCTTTTGGTAGTAGGGAATTGAATCCAGGGCCTTCATACTGAGCTACAGCCCCAGCCCTTAATATTTATTTATTTATTTATTTATTTATTTATTTATTTATTTATTTATTTATTTATTTATTTTGTGTGTGTGTGTGTGGCCAGCTCAGCCCACCAGGGGGCGGGCTGGCTGGCATGTGGTGCTGGGGGATTGAACCGCGGTCCCTGTGCTTTGCTAAGCTTGTTCTAAGTAGGTGCTTTAGACCACTGAGCCATCTCACCAGCCCAAAATAGCACTAGGCTTTGCTTTTTTTTTTTTTTTTTTTTTTTTTTTTTTTTTTGCGGAACTGGGGATTGAACTCACACTCTTGCGCTTGCCAGGGAAGTGCTTATTCCACTGAGCCATCTCCCCGGCCCCTAGCCCCAGCCCTTAAAAAAAAAAAAAAACCCTCAACTGCCCAGACTGGGCTGGAATTTAGGATCCTCCTGCCTGAGCCTCCCAGAATGCAGGCACTTTCTGCAGTCATATACCACCATGCCCTGCTGTGCTCTCTTGCTCTGTCTGTACACATCTCCGTAAGCTGAACTTTTCCCAGCAATCTAGTGAGAGGAAGCAGTGCTCTTAGCTTTAGCTATCTTATGGAATGAAGGGTGGATGCCTGGCCACCCCCACAGCCCCGGAAGAGTCAAAAAGGGAGAAGCAGGACTCTAGGGGCCCCAAGTGCCAGTGTCCCTGCCCCAGACTTGCTGGCACATGGCCCTGCAGCCAACCCAGCCGTTCCCTCACCTGTAGGACTGGGGCATTCATTTCTCCTACCTGGGAAGAGTGGCCTACGTAAACCCTTTCTCACTGCAGCCTGACAGTGAAGAGGGTTCCCCAGGGTGGTTGGAGCCCAGGATCCACAGTGAACTGGTTGGTAGACGCCAGCGAGAGAGAAGTCCTTGCCCGGAGCTAGCTGTCCCACTTGCCTTCTGACCTCTCCTGAGCAGAAGTCAGGCCATATTCTAGGCTAACAGGCAGAGGCTGGTGGGTTTCTCTCTCCAACTTCCTGGTAACAAGCAGGCCACCTCTCCACACTGAAGACTCTTGTCAGTTTGTCCTTTTGTGCTGTGTATCTGCTTTATGAACCCCTTTCTTAGACCAGAGTACGCTCTCCTGCTGCCCTCCTGAGCTGTCAGCTGATCGCAGACACCGCCCATTAGCTGCCTCTGTCAGACCTGCACTTCACAGTAGCCACACCTCACCAAACCTGGCAATTAGGTTCTGTCCTGTTGGAGGCCCAGAGCCCAGCCCAAGGGCAACTTTGGATGACCTGGAGGCCTAGTGGTTCCTGAGCAGAACGGGGTGGCTTGACTCTGAAAGGCAGGGTGCTTGGTGGCTCTGTGGCCAGGCCCTGTCCTGCCCTGGTCCCACCAATGGAGCTGTGGCTACCTGCTGTGGCCCAAGCCCAGAGAAGGGAATCTTTCTTAGGGAGGGACAGACACCCGGAGACAGCCTTGAATTTGGAACTTCTACAGTGCCTGCTGCGCTCTCTGGCCATTTCACATAGGGAATCCTACTCTCAATACAGGCAGGCTTGGGTGTACTTTGAGTTTCTGTGAATGTTGCTTCCAGCTCTTCCCTATAAAAGGCCACAAAGGTACCAGCAGCATGCTGTCCTCCCCATGCTCCTTAGGCCGGGCAAGCACTGTCGCCCTTTGCTGCCTTCTCTCCAGGCACACCTTCAGCATTTCTTTGTTACCAGACTTGGGGAGATTTGCTGCCAAAACAGCCTCCTCCTGAGACCCCTGCAGATTCCCAGGGCTGCAGCTCAGCCCAAGGAAGGAGATGCTGCCCTCTGACTCCCCTCACATCCTCCCTAGGCCCCGCTGGTGGAGGCCCTTCTGCTCCTGGCTGGCCAGGGAACGTAAAGGAGAGCAGGTGTCGCTCAGCCTCAGTCGAAGGGTCTAAGAGTGAGCTTTTGAACAGAGGGCAATTTCCTGAGACCGCAGAGCTTTCCCCATCAGGGAGTGGCTTTTGCTCCCAGGGCAAAAAGAATCGATAGCCTCCATCTGCTTCAGCAGGAAGGATAGGCTTGCTGCAGTCAGAGAACAAATGGGCGCCTAAGTGCTTAAGCCTTGGTACCGCCCTGTGGCACTGTGGCCCAGCTGCCTGTGTGCGGCAGCCCCAGCACTGGGCACTTCATTTTCAGCCCGATCAGTCCTCCTGCAGACTGCGGTCCTTGAGGGCTGTGTGTGGCCCGTAGCATCCTGGGTGGGAGCGAGCTGACACTGCAAGGCACAGTTGGCACAGGGTTGGAGGAATCCTGGGGTCATCTGATCTCTAACCTCTCAAACCACAGAGGAGCTGAAGCCAGGGCAGGTGAAGGGAAAGACAAGAAGCCAGGTCAGCAAAGGGGGACGTGGCCAGCCCAAGGCCTTGGGAGGCCCACAGTCGGGGCACCCTGTCCAGCTGCTGGGTCAGAGTGAAGCCCATAGAGTTCTAACATGAGCTACAAATGCAAGGCTTACCTGCAGGTTTAAATTTCCTTGTACTCACAGTACATTTTTAAAGATTTCTCTTCTCCTTTTTCCTTCTCCACCAATCCCTTCCTATTCATTGTTTTGCAGTATTGAAAATTGAATCCAGGGCATTCATGCTGTGCCACAATCCCCAACCCCTTTTTAAAACTTTTTATTTTGAAAAAAAAAAATCTTATTTTGAGACAGATTCTTGTTCCAGTCACTAAGTTGCCCAGGCTGGACTTGAACTTGAATCTACTGTCTCAGCCTCCCAGACAGTAGAGGAGGTGTATACCACAATCTATTATAACCTCATTTTAAAAACTGAAAAGCAAGTTAGGGAGATAGTTAGGTGGTCTAAGTGCCTGCCTGGCAAGCACAAGAACCGGGTTCAATCCCCAGTACTGTATGCCATGCTGACCCTGCACCCAGTCAGCCATCAAACTGGGCATGGTGGCACATGCCTATACTCCCAGCTCTGGAAGGCTGAGACAGGAGGGTCACTATAAGTTTGAGCTGCATAGTGAGGCCTGTACCAAATAAATAAATAATAGAGAAATAAAAAATGAACAGTAACCAGTATAATTAAACATTTTTATGCAGGGGATATAGCTCAGCACTTGCCTGCTAAGCAGTTTGATTCCCAGTTATATATATATATATAGTTATATATATATATATAGTTATATATATATATATATATATATCCAAAATATCAATATAAAAGTGAATAACTAGACATCTTTGAAAATAGTAAGCAATTCTTATAAATACCTTGTGAACTTAATGCACATAAAATGCATCTCAATTTGGTCCAGACACCTTGAAATGTCCCACAGCCACATATAACAAGGCTTGTGAAGACCCTGTTGGGACATCAAGGGCCTCACTTGAGCTGCAGTCCCATCTTGGGCATCTAATGGACAGGATACAGCCAGGTGTAGTGGCACACCCCTGTAACTCCAGCACTTGGGAGACTGAGGCAGGAGGATGGTTGCAAGTCGGAGGGCAGCCTGGGCTACAAAGTGAGCTCAAGGCCAACCTGAGTTGCATAGTGAAACCTTATCTCAAAAAGACTAAATAAATACAATAAATGGATGGATAGTCTTCAGTGTCCCAAGGATGAGAAGTGAAATGCAGACAACACCTCTCTTTTCTCCCTCTGCATCTCGGGGTCAGGGTCATTGCCATCCGAGCAGGAACATCCCGCCGTGATGAGTCACTCAGAGCCTCGGGTGTTCTGGCCATGACTGACCGCCCTCCTCTGTGGAGCCAGCACTCTGATGTGACTGATGGGCATGCCAGGGAGTGAGCTTTTGCTTTTCCTCACTCAGCCCTGGGTCTCTGGGGCATGGGAGAAGCCTGAGAGCACTCATTGGTTTCCAGGAGGCCTCCCACAGCCCAGGGGCAAAGCTCACGCGGTCTAGGCTGCAGCTGGAGCCTGGATCTCCCTGTCCCACCATGCCTACCTCCATGGCCACCATCCCTGGGAAGCCCCGTCTCAAAGGCGAAGAGAGGCAGGTAGGAGGGGCTCTGGAGCTGCAGCCTCCTCAGCAAGTGGCCCCTTCTGAGAATAGTTGGAGGCAGGCGTGCCTCTGGTGCTTAGGAGAAAATTAGCCTCTCCTCTCCGGCGCCATCTCACTAATCACACTTAGCCGGGAGCAGAGGCCGTCATCCTTGCAGGCTGCCTTGTTTCCTGTTGCTGCTTGCTTTGGCAAGGCCCTCTGTGGCCCTCCCTTCCCCACTGACACTATCAGCCCATCTCTTCAGGAAAGGGAGGCTCCTGGGCCACCAGGTTCAGTGGCTTGTCCTTGAGGCCCCTCTTCCGTCCCCCTGGAATGTGTGAGCAGGCTTAGGCTCAGTCTACCCAGGCTGCTGAAGCCTTTCTCATAGGCCAGGCTGTGTCCTGTCATAGGCCTGCTAGTATGTGCCAGCCAGTGTGCTGTCCTTCCAGCCCTCCTTCCACTGAAACTGGAGCTGGGGATATAGCTCAGTGGCACAGCACCTGCCTGGCAAGCGCAAGGTCCTGAGTTTGATTCCTGGTGCCAAAGAAAAGGGATTTTCACTGAAACCAGGTGGTTCTCAGAATGATTTTTTTTAACTTTAATTTATTTATTTACGTGTGTGTGTGTGTGTGTGTGTGTGGCCAGCTCACCCACCAGGGGGCGGGGCTGGCTGGCATGTGGTGCTGGGGGATTGAACCGCGGTCCCTGTGCTTTGCTAAGCTTGTTCTAGGTAGGTGCTTTAGACCACTGAGCCATCTCTCCAGCCCCTCAGAATGATATTATGGATGACCATATGTGTAGAGAAGACTTTTTGAGCTCAGCTGGTGAGTGCCTGGAAGGGCTGGGGTGGGGAGCTGTCCAACCCCTTCCTCTAGACCATGAGGTTCTGGTAGGAAGAGGTGGTTGCCAGGCAGCACACACCTGTAATCCCAGATACTCTGGAAGCAGAAGGATGTCAAGTTTGAGCCCCACCCTAACAATTTAGCAACTCAGTGAGACCTCTTAAAAATGAAAAATAAATGGGATACAGGAGTGCAAAAGAAGAAGGAGAAGAAAGGGCAGAGAGAGAGAGACAGAGAGAGAGACAGAGAGAGAGAGAGAGAGAGAGAGAGAGAGAGACAGAGACAGAGACAGAGAGACAGAGAGAGATCCCAGTACTCAGAGGCTGAGGCAGGAAGTGTTCACTGTGAGTTCAAGGTCAGTCCAAACTGTATAGTGAAACCTTGTCTCAGAAAAGAAAGAGGGGCTGGGAGATGGCTCAGTGGAATAAGTGCTTCCCTGGCAAGCACAAGAGGCTGAGTTCAATCCCCGGTTATGAAAAAAAAAGAAAAGAAAAGAAAAGAAAAGAAAAGAACAGATCAGTTGTTGCCCCACTGGGAGCAGGGAGCAGGCCCTAGGCTGTCAGGTCTGAGGCCGCACCTTTCCTGGCGGCCCTCATGGGTGGGGACCCGCCTGATAGAGGGGCCTCTGTGCTGAGCACTAGGGCTGGGCCTCTCCGCAGAGCCTGCGCCTGCTTGTTGTCCTGTGTCTGCCACCCCTCCGCCCAGCTATTTCCCCATCCATCTGGGTGGGATTGCTGTGCGCTCCTCCTGGGCATGTGGGTGTAGCAGGTCCAAGCCTCTGTGGGAGTCAGTCTCTGGGCGCCCCGCCTCCGGGCTGTGCCCTTTCCTCCCTGACTGGTTGTGCAGGAGCGGTGGGGCATGCGCAGCAGTCAGGCCCAGGCAGGGAGCCCTCACCTGCAGGGAGGGGCCTTGCAGAAACTGCCTTCCCCTGGCAGCCCCACAGCACCACAGCCTGGCCAGGCAGCCGCCCAGGAAGGACACCACCTGCAGCCCTCCTGCCCCGTGGGGAGCCCAGCCCGAGCCAGCACCTGTCTTTTCCACCATGTTCAAGGGGCTGAGCAAAGGCTCCCAGGGGAAGGGGTCCCCCAAGGGCTCTCCAGCCAAAGGATCCCCGGCCAAAGGATCCCCCAAAGGCTCCCCCAGCAAGCACAGCCGGTGAGTGGGTGTTGGGGCGGGGAACCAGCTGTTCCAGCTACCTGGAGGTGGCACCTCAGATGGGCATTGGTATCTCCAAGCCAAAGGGCCCAGGAGTGGATGCTCTCCTACCTCAAGCCTCTGGCCCAGGCTGCACTCCAGCCCTGGCAAGAAGCAGGTGCTGGCCATGGCTCCCCGCATACTCTGGGACAGCCAAGGGTCCTTCATGCAGGCCGCTGTGCAGGAGAGGTAGGGGGAGGCTGAGAGACCTCGGGTCTGGCTCTCATCCAGGGCTCTACACCCGAGGCTCTGCAGGTGGGCAGGACCAAGAGGTGAGAGGTGAGAGGTGAGAGGGAGAGTGGCCGAGGACAGACAGCTGGGGCCCTGCTCCTTCTACCTCAACCACAGCTGCAAATTTCGCTGGTTCACACCCGAGTCTTGGGTGAACAGTGAAAGAGCTGGGGTGCATTCCCCCCGGGGTGCATGGGCGTGCAGCGCTCCCTCTGCACACAGACTCGGCTGCCTTCTTCCTGCTCATGCCCTCAGCCTTTCACAGGAGGAGGCGGCTGCCCACTCCAGTCCAGAGTGTCAAGGTGTTGAGATAGAGCAGAGATGAAAGGCTGGGGTGGGGTGCCATTACCCCGATAGGGATCGGGCACCCACGCAGGCTGCGCTTCTTGGGAGACAGGAAAGACAGCGGTGAAGACTCTCACTGGAGTGACCTGTCCTTCCCAGGACACCTGAGCCTGGCCAGGGTAGAGGTGCAGTTCTGGGTAGAAGCAGCCCTCTCCGAGGCCAGACCTGGGGACAGGGTTGCAGGCAGGCTGCTGTGCATGCGAGCCCTGGACAGCTCCACACACAGCACCCTCAAAGGGGGTTCCTGGTCCCCCCCCCCCCCCGTGTGTGAGCCACACACCCTTACTGAGTTCTGACGGTGTTTGAGGCACTCCTTGGCTCTCGGGATGCCACTGTAAACAGAATCGCCAGGCCCTGCCTTCAAGGAGCTTACCCTCTGCAGAATAAAAACTAATGTGTGCTGAATGCTGACTCTGCACGTGAGGCTTCCAACGGGTTTTGTGGAAGACACTATTAAAACCCCACTCTGCTGGGTGTGGTAGTTCAGGCCTGTAATCCCAGCACCCTGGAGGCTGAGGCATGAGGATCACCATGAGGGTTTTTTTTTTTTTTTGGTGGAACCAGGGATTGAACTCAGACCCTTGCGCTTGCCAGGGAAGTGTGTATTCCACTGAACCATCTCCCCAGTCCCTCGCCATGAGTTTGAGGCCAGCCTAGACTACAAAGTGAGACCCTGTCTCAAAAAAATAAATAAATAAATAACCCAAGATAAATAAATGAAACTCCATTTTGTAAGTAGGAAGACTTAGGCACAGAGAGTTTGCCTCATTTGTCTGGGTTTACAAAGCAGTAGCGATAGAGGAGGTCAGCCCCAGACTTCCTGACCACAGTCTTTTAAGACCGCTTTGTCTTCCCTGGCACTGGCCTCTGCCTGGGGATCCTGTCCTTGGACCCTGGTTTACAGCTCCTTGGAGGCTTTCCCTCCCCGAGGACTATGACCCCTACAGGACACCATGCTCCTCAGGCTTGGACCACTTTTTAAGGTCTGTGTGGCTTCCTTGACCCTCAGAGAAAGATAGTGTGTGGCAAACAATAGAAGCTCCCTAGGGGAAAGGATTCCTTGGGGCCCAGGCAGTAGCAGGCTCACCTCTGTTCCTGTATGACCCAGAATAAGTCAGGTCCCAATCTGGACTTTGGATCCCTAAATCTGAAAAGTAGAATTCTGTCTGTCTGTCTGTCTGTCTGTCTGTCTGTCTGTCTCTCATCTGTCTCTCTCTCTCTCTCTCTTTCTCCCTCTCCCTATCCCTCTTCCTCCCCCTATGTGTTTGAAACAGAATTTTGATGAGTAGCCCAGGTTTGCCTCAAACTTCAGGCAGTCCTCCTGCCTTACCCTTCTGAGGGCTGGGATTACAGATGTGCACCACCACACTCAGCACCAAGCCATCTTTTGATCCTTCCCTGTTCAGACATCATGTGGCTCAGACAAAGGCAAAGTAGCTTAGACAAAGCTACTTAAGGATGGAGGAGACAGCACTGGGGTGGGGGGCTTCAGCTGCTCCAGCAGCCTCACTGCCCTCCTCCTGGTCCCAGCCAGCATACTACACAGTGAAAGCTGGTGATTCACTTGCTCCTGGCCAACCTGAGGAAGTGGACAGGCAGCTGGGTGGGGTGGGACTGGGCGGGGTGGGTCAGGCAGCTAGCTGGCTGAGGCTGGGAGCTGGGGCGCCTATGCCACCGCATTACACAACCGCATTACACTTCCTGAACCCCAAACCGAGGCTGAGTATCTGAGAGTCCCCCAGGCCAAGGGCTCCTCCCTCCAAGGCAGACAGCCTGGCTGTGGTGGGAGAGGACCCCAGCAGATAGGGCATAGAAGGGCCTTTCCGCATGTGACCCTTTATCCCTTGCCACCCACCAGGGTTGCCACACAGGAGCTGGCTGTGCTCATCTCGCGCATGCAAGCCAATGCTGACCAGGTGGAAAGGGACATCTTGGAGACCCAGAAGAGGCTGCAGCAGGTGAGGTCTAGGCAGCAGGGACTGGCTGGGGGCACGGGAAGCCCAGCATTGTATCTGGGTACCCATGGTGACATACAAGAGGATAGTAACCCTGGTTCTTCATTGTGAGCTCCCCACACATGGTGGGACAGAATTTGGCCTTCCTTCTTGGCTGCACTCCCTGCTTTGGGGGACAAAGAGCGGCCTAGGCTTTTCTCATTCATGCCACCTGCTGCACAGATGCCCAGACCCTATGCC